TATATATATATTCCATTGGATTCAATGACCTGAAAACCTTAGGTATTAACACCAAGGTCATGGTACTTGGAGCATTCGCAGCCGTTTTAATAGCAAATATTTTTTTCTCTTGGCGGCTATTTTGAACGTCACATTTAATAAAGATGTATGCTATGGCGTTTTATATTTGATTCCTTGAACTAAAGAACACAGGTATTGACGCCAAGATCATGGTAATGTAAGCACGTAAAGCCTTGAAGTTGCCAAGATTGTGTTTTTTGGCAGCCATTTTGAATATTTTATTTAATTTTACATCTGGATCCTGACTAACTTGTAACAATGTGTATTTAATTGTTGAAGAACGGAGCAGTTATACTGTTTCGTTCTTAATTTCATTCTCTGATAAACTGATACTAATTAGTTTTAGGATAGTTATGGGTTAGTTATTTTCCATTTTCATATTCTTTAAGTGCTTTCAGAAGATTTTCAATCGTGTAAAGCGCTATACAAGTCGATTTCCATTTCCATTATAGTTCCAGCACAATGAGAGTTCAATTACAATATCACATGCTAAGTAAAAATTCTTACCTGGGTACACAGTTGGATCAGTACCTTGGAAGCATTCTGGTTACTTGAACATAGAAGACCAATCACAGAGCTTAGGCAAGACAAGCTTGATGCTGATCGTGATACACCATCCTGGATGCCAGAGCTGTGATTGATACTCAAGTTCTCTAGGATCCCAGGCATATTTGATATAACATTCAGCTCTGCTCTACCTGCTGCAGCTAAGCACATTAATCGGACAACTAGACGGATGTCACCTAGGCCAAGTAACTCCAAATTCTTGGTCTGATCACTCGTTGACCAGCTAAAAATGATTAAATATCAAAGAATCATTGCTATTTATATAAAGCAAGCAAGTCACTACTTAACATTACATGTTCACTGGTGCTCAGTTTATGTTGAGAAAAAATGTTACATCTCACAGCACAAAAAAAAATGAATGCTCATGACTGACCACACAGTGAACTATCAAAGCCAAACTCCAAAATATTTTTGATATGTTGCAAAACTGATTTTTCTAAGACACAAAAAGGGTGTTTGATGAAAAAAACTGAAGAATGTTTAATGAGATACAGATTTTGAATATTTAAAAACTGGGGGTTACAGGTGGAAAAAGGGTGGTTACACCCACAATTTCCCCAGTTTTAAAATAATCAAAAATCTGTATCTCATTGATCACTGCCAAGTTTTTTTTTTTATCAACACACAGTTAGAAAAATCAGTGGTACAACATATAAAAGTTTGACTTCCTCCAGAGCCTGACTTTAACATCAGCAGGCATTACCTGACAGACAGTACAGAGAGCGTCCTCATAATAATAGCCCTTGCTAGTAACACCTGCATAGTTGATGCCGTCTTCCTCAATGCTACATTCCTGTCTTGTGCATTGGTTAACACGGCAACCTGTTCACCAAGGCTGACATGCCAAATACCCGCCTCCCGTCTAGTACCACCTACAAAAAAAAGGCATAATAATAAAACTGATACCCCTACTGGATTCTAACTGTTCTGCTTTCAGTGGTAATATACTGCAGAGCGCTTATATTTCATGCGCCTTTAGTTTTTGCGATTGTGATATGTAAAACAATAGAATCAAATTTTGTATGCAGGTTGCTATACCTTATGAAATAGCGTGTGTAGATAAAGTTATTTCAGTGCTTCACTGGCAAAAAATATTTCAACATAATAACCCTTACTCACCTGTGATATTGTTCTGTGATACCAGGGACATCGATTGTACCATTTTAGCCCCAAGTGGATCACTCTCAGTAAATTGGACGGGGTCGGCAACTTGGTGGTTGGACGACAGGCCTAATCTCTCCATTATGTTTTCGAACTGCTCCAGACCTGATATGGGATCTTCATCAACACCTGTTGCATCAAAATCATCTGAATGCAAAAATTATGTTTAATGTTTTTTCTTATGCCCCTTTGTTTACTTATTGAATATTCAGTGAATCACCTTTATATATTTTTTAATACAGTAATTGATAATTTTTTACTTTAAGCTATAATTCAAATTGAAATTTATGTAAACCTTTATGAGCATTTTGCAATAATATATACTTTCTTCATGTTGTTGGAATTATTTCTTGTACTTTATCTGACATCTTTTAATTGTGTATTTTAATTAATTTTTCAATACTGTTTACTTGTTTTTTCCAATCAATTATGCTGTGTTTTAACTGATTGTAATAAATTTTGATTGAAATGTAATTTAAATATGAAGCTATATGATAAACATTTTCAAAGTTCACAGTAAAAAAGATATATACGAGAAAGGTTTGGAAAAAGCTATAGGGATTGAAAATATATTCAATAGCTTGCTGAATCTATCAACGAATGTGTAAAAGAACATAAGAATTGACTGAAAGGGTGGAAATGAGAGGATTTATTTTAAGACCCCTGCATCTGGTCATTGATTTGGTATTCAATGACCAGTAAAACCAGAGCCTTGCAGGCGTCAACGTTCCTATGCATGATACATGACTTTAAGAAGTATAGAGACAGCACCAAGGTCATGTTACTTGGAGCATTCGCAGCCGTTTTAATAGCAAATATTTTATCTCTTGGCGGCCATTTTGAAATATACATATATATATATCCGATGCAGCCACCTACTCGTTTGATTTAATATATATATATACGTATATATACGTATATATATATGTTTGTGTGTATATATACTTATATATAAGTGTATAGATATAAGAATATAAGTGTATATATATAAGTACATATATAGGCCTATATAAGTATATATGTAAGTATGTGTATAAATGTATATATATACGTATATATAAGTATGTACAGTATATATATATGTATATATATAATATATAAGTATGAATATATGTATGTATATATAGATATATATGTATATATGTAAGTATGTGTATGTATATATATATGTATATATATAAGCATGGAGGATATAAGTATGTATATATGTGTGTATATATATATGTATATATGTAGATATATAAGTATGTATATATGTATGTATATATATACGTATATATATACGTATATATGTATATATATATGTATGTATATATGTGTGTGTATATATATATAAGTATGTATATACATGTATATATATAAGTATGTATATATATATGTATATATATATATGTATATATATAAGTATGTATATATGTTATAATGAATATATGTATGTATATATATAAGATATATACATACATACATACATATACATACATACATACATTATAACATACATACTTATATGTACGGTTGGGTCAAATTTGTGTGGTGGTTGAAAAATACAGGGGGAGTTTTTATGGCCCAAAATGGTGATTTCAGATCATATTGGTAATGTAATTCGACAGGCAAATTACAGTAACATTTTTAGCAAAAATATCGTAGGCATAGGGCCTTGCTAGGTATAGAGTATTTTCATTTTACAGTAGTTTGGAACGATATCGGAAGTGGGGTGCTGGCAGTGGCCTGCTAAGGACTACAATTTATTTGAAAATATCTTGGGTCCGATCGTCC